GCTTTATGAACTTGCATTTCATCGCGCGTCTGGATCGTTTTCTCCGGTTTCACTTCCTTTTTTCTTTCTCCTTGAAACACATACGCGTCTTCCGACTAACGGCTTTCTGAAATCCCGGGCGTATGACGGGTCTTTACAATTTCATTATCTCATGTGCACTGCAATAATGATCACGAACACTGGTGGGCGTTGGAAGTTTCGAAGATGGCGGGTCTGTTTTCCTCTGCTTCTAATGTGTACTAGTTTATTCCTCGGGTTTGTCTCCCGTGACTTCAAGATCACTCAGACATGGCGAGTTCGGCTCTTATGTAGAATACCTTAGTTTCGGTCAGGAACAGAGACAGAGGGGACATAATGAACTGCATGCTCGTCATTCATCCATCCATTACTCTACGTAATCCATATAGGCTGCCTACTGACCCCTCACCTTCTCAATCGCAAACGCAATCGCCCTCGCCAAATCCTCTCCCTTCTCCCACGCATCATTATGATCCCCCTCGATATCCAACATCTCCACCACCCTCTCCTCACTCCCACTCCCACCACCCACCCACTCCTCTTCCAAAGCCTTCCTCATCACCTCCCTCTGCCCCGGATCCACCAGACTATCACCCCCGGAATACGCCAACACCGCCACCAACCGATCTCCATCCCCAACCCCACTCCACCCACCACATACCCCCTCCTCTCCCCTCCCCAAAGCAGGCGAGACCTCATCCCAAACCGCCTCATCAGCCCCAAACGCCCCCTCACTGAACTCCTGATACGCACTCACACTCCGATGCGTATCCCTCAACAACCGAAGATCATAAATCCCCGCCATCCCCACAATCCCCACCGGAGGAGGCAGCATTACCTCCCCCTTCAACAAGTCCCGAAACCTCCCCATCACAGACTGAAACGCCAGCGTAGCACCACAACTATGTCCCACTAGGATGTAATTCCTCCCGATGTTGTATTTCTCTTGCAGGAAGGACAGCGCGGATTGCACATCGGAGATGTGATCTGGGTGCTTTGCGGCGCGGAGGTGTGTGGGCTCGGTGGTTTCGGGGTCTTGCGGGTGTGATGGATGCGGGCTGAGACGGTAGGAGATTGAGGCGATGCCTTTGAGGTGGGAGGTGTTGTTGGTGTAGAAGGGATTGCTGGTGAGGGTGCTTAGGGCGGGAGTTAGGTAGTTCGTGGCGGTTTGGGTTGGGTCGCGCCAGGCGCCGCCGTGGATTAGACTGTGTGGATGGGTTGGTTAGTTTGGAAGGTAAGGAGGTAGAGGATGCTTTGTTTGGATTTGGGGAATTTACATCACCCAGTAGCCTTCATTGTTGTCGTTGTTGAGAGTGGCCACTGTGACGGTTTGGAGGCTGTGATCGGTGCCGTAGGGGAGGGTTTCGATGGGGGGTGCAGGTGCTGTGGGTTTGAAGGAGGGGTGTGTTTGGCCCATTGTTGCAATTGTTTACTATATGATATGCTTTGAGGTGCTATTGTCTGTGGATAAGAGATGCTTGTATGATTTATGTAGAAGTGCTGGGCTGGTTAGTGAGGGGTCAGTGATAGCGTTGGTTAGTTGGCTTGGGAATCTGCGGATGTAACTCCGTAGATAAGGTCACGGTTAGTGTTCCCCCGGAACCCGGGTACGGCATCATTATATGGAGTATTTTCAGCATATTTGCCTCAATTGGAAGTCTGTGACCCTCATGATAGCATAGTCTATAGTGAAATAGATATCCCCTGGCAGAAACGATGCTTTTGATCGTAAGTTATGCAAGGGGGATTGAAAGCGCCCAAAAAGGCAAGCGGACCGGCGGCTCGTATGGGGCTTGGCACGCTAGCCGGTTTGGGGGCTAGGCGGTGGGAAATGCTGAATTCCATCCACACAAACCTCGCCGCCGACTGCCATCTCATTGTCGCCGTCTGTATACGCAATTCCCAGGCACATATTCAACATGGCGGAGTAAGTCTTCCTGGTCTGTTCGATCTGATCTGGGCATCTGTATACTAATGCTTGCAATAGGAAAGAAGTCCCTCTCACGGCCGTCAAGGTCGAGGCCTTGGTATGCACACCATGAAAATCTCCCCATTCCCCCACCCGCCTTTTTCACGGCCGGCAGCAATGCTTACAGCGTGGCATACAGGTCGTGATGAAGATCATCAAGCACGGCTCTCAAGCCTTCCCGACGACTGCGACCGGTTCGATCGTTGGTATGGATGTTGACGGTACCCTGGAGATCACCAACTGCTTCCCTTTCCCCGTCGTTGAGGTGCCCGCCGAATCGCACTTTGACAACGCCGCTCCCAACCCGGCTGCTGCTGCCCCCCGCGCGAAGGCCAACGCCGCCTACGAGGCTGAGATGATCCGCATGATGCGCGAGGTCAACGTTGACGCCAACAACGTCGGTTGGTACACCAGCGCCAACATGGGCAACTTCGTCAACATGAACGTGATCGAGAACCAGTTCTTTTACCAGAAGGATATGAACGAGCGCACGGTCGCTCTGGTGCACGATGTCAGCCGCAGCGCACAGGGAAGCCTGAGCCTGCGCGCTTTCCGCCTGTCCCCTAAGTTCATGGCGGCTTTCAAGGAGAACAAGTTCACTTCTGAGGAGTACGTTCATACCCTTGACTCGGAGGGATGATAGACGTATGCTAATTGGTTCTTTTTTTCTGGCAGGCTGCAAAAGTCCAACCTCAGGTACCAGGACATCCTGGTCGAGCTCCCCGTTGAAATCCACAACTCTCACCTGATCACCTCCTTCATCCACCAGCTTCAGACCCCCGTCCAGGCGACCCCCTCCGATCTCCCCCCGTCCCTGGCCGCCCTGGAGTCGTCTCAGTACGCCAAGTCGTCCGTGCTGGCGCCCAACTTTGACAACCTCTCTCTCAGCATCGACCCGTTCCTGGAGAAGAACTGCGACCTTCTGCTTGACAGCATCGAGGTGCACCACACCGAGACCAACAACTTCCAGTACTACCAGCGGTCGCTCGCCCGTGAGCAGGCCAAGATCACCGCGTGGCAGAACAAGCGCAAGACCGAGAACGCCAGCCGCGCGGCTCTCAAGCAGCCCCTTCTCCCCGAGGACGAGTGGCAGCGGCTGTTCAAGCTGCCCCAGGAGCCCAGCCGCCTGGACAGCATGCTCAACAGCCGCCAGGTGGAGCAGTACGCTCGCCAGGTCGACAGCTTCGTGTCCGCGACGACGGGTAAGATGTTCGCCGTCAAGGGCAACCTGCTTCCGGGTGAGACGGCCAAATAGATGGATGCGGAGGAACGGATAGGAAAGGAAAATAGGAAAGGCGGGCGATGATGATTAGTTCTTGGAATTGCATGACCTTACGGCGTAGGGAGGGAAAACTTCTGTATCTGACGGGCTGTTAATATGACTCCTGTTTGCTTCTTCCATGAGAATTAGAACGGGCATGACTTGATACCATACCTCCTTACTTGACTGCTGCTACTGCTGCTGCTCTTGACTTCTATTGTATTTGATTATGATTAAAGAGTAGCTGATCCAGCCCTAATTCCGCCTTAGGGCAAGGCCAGTTACTGGCACGTGGTGATGACCTCATCGATAACGAGATAGATACTAACTAGATAAGATCATGGCTTACCCCTAGTAATTCCAATGAACATAGACTCAATTTCCTGTTTCAATAGATGATATGCATGATGTACAATACCAACACCGATATCTGGCTGGTACGTCCATCCCCAACAGCAACCCACGCACCCCAGGAAACTAAAAAGAAGTACAGTCCGGCGCCTTCGCCGTCCTAATTGTCGACTTCCTCGTGTACCCCATCGACACGCTCAAAACGCGCATCCAATCCCCAACCTACAACCGAATATACAAAGACGCAACGACGGGGGCAATCAACCGTAAACTCCTCTTCAGGGGACTCTATCAAGGTGTAGGGAGCGTCATTCTCGCTACTTTACCTGCTTGTATGTCCCACCCATACCCCCTTCCCCAAACCATACACCATCATCCATCATACTGGAATATATAATTCTAGATAGATAAATAAGTATATTGATAAACTAACATAAGAATGAAAATAAAAAAACCGATAGCAGGAGCATTCTTCACCACCTACGAAGGTCTAAAACACACCCTCACCACTACCACTACACACCAATCCCCCATCCTCCTTCCCACACCAATAATCCACTCCCTCTCCTCCTGCGTGGCTGAATCCGTCTCCTGCTTTATTCTTACCCCGGCGGAGGTAATTAAGCAGAATGCGCAGGTATATACTAATACCAATACCAACCCACATTCAACTTCCACACCCAATGACATCAAGGGCGGGGGAACTCCATCAAAAACAAATATAACCCTGCTCACGCTGCGCAAGTTCCGCCACAGGCCAACTTCCCTCTGGAGTGGGTATACCGCGCTCCTGGGACGGAATCTGCCCTTTACGGGGTTGAATTTCCCTCTTTTTGAATATTTGAGGGGGTTGGGGGCGGGGTATTTACTTCGGTGTCGGAAGGGGGATGGAGGAGATGGGAAAGTGGTGGGAGGGGATGTGTTGGGACAGTTTGGGAATGTGCAGAGGGCTCTTATTACGGGGGTTTCTGCTGCTATTGCTGGGACGGTTTCGTCTGTTGTGACTACGCCGGTGGATGTGGTTAAGACGAGGATGATGTTGGGGGCTGGGAGTGCTACTAGCAATGATACTGGTAGTGGGGAAATGAGGGGAGAAAGGAGGAGGTGGGGGGCGTGGGAAGTGGGAAAGAAGGTGTATAGGGAGGAAGGGGTCAAGGGATTGTTCAAGGGAGGGGCGATACGGTCTGTGTGGACGGCTGTTTCGTTTGGAGTGTATCTTTGTGTGTATGAGGGTGGGAGGGGGTTTTTGGAGAATAGACGGAGGGAGAGGGAGATGGTATCGCCTTGAGTAGGTGGGTTGTACTACTACTACTATACTACAACGTGAAGAGGATATAAAGTCATCAGTTCATTCACTCTGGTATATCCATCAAGCAGAGTCCATTCTCAGTAAGTTAATCGTACATCATGGCCAAATCGTATATCCCTTCAATGGCAAATATCGCTTCATGTCATTCATCATTCCATTCGTAAAGAAAAGAAACATCCTCTCATCAATGCTCCAAACCCACCAGCTCAACCCAAATTGGTCAGTCTCTTGAACCAATTCGGCATCCTGGGCCCATTGACTGGCGGTGCATAACGATCGTCGTACGACCGCATGCCCCGGGCCCGTTCGTAATCAGCGCTGCCTGAACTACGCTCAGATCGTCTAGCCTCGCGCTTTCGCGCCCGCAACTCGTCGATTTCCTGATCCGTCATGCCAGGATATCTGGCTCGTCGTCGGGCCCGACGCCGCAGCTCACGTCGCGCCTCCTCGTCCGAGGAGACCGAGTTCGCCTGAGCCGGCTCACCTGGACCAGGTGGCATGTCCAGTACGGTGGCCACGACCGGTGGTGGTTCAGGCGGGTCGCTGGCTTGCGAATGCACCCAGGACGAAGTTTTATCCTTGCGTCCTCCGGACATCATCGGTGGTGCGCGCTCCGGTTCTGGAGCCCTGGACTTGCGACGTTTGGGCCTCACCCCCTCTTCTGTAGACCGTTCCGGACGGTAAACCCTCTCGCCATCGTAGCCGCCGAGATAGAATTCTCGGGCTGCTCTGTCATCGACAGGGTGACGAGAGGATCGACGTTTGGACCGGGGCTCATACGCGGCGGCTTCTTGCATCTCTGCCTCCCTCCGCCGTCTGCGTTCGCGCCGTTCTGCTGCTCTGGCTTCGGCTTCGGCCTGCTCTTCTGCCTCGCGGGCCTCTGCTTCTTCTCGAGCCCGGCGCTCTTCACGAGCTGCTCTACGAAGCCTGCGTTCTTCCTGGCGTCTTGCTTCCCGCTCTTCCTCCTCTCGGAGCATTCTCTCCTGCATCTCTCGCTCACGAGCTCTCTCTCTTTCCCTCCGTCGAGCACGCCTTTCTTCGGCGTCGCGCCACTCGCTCTCACGGAGTTGATCAGACGGCGCCTGTCGAGAGGATCGTTTCGCTCGACGGGCTGCCCGTCTAGCCTCAACTTCGTCCATGTCGGTTTCCGGGAACCCACCTACTGGACCGCCCTCAGTGACAAAGCCGTCGAGCTCAGCCTCTCTTTCTGCACGTCTCCTGCGAGCTTCGCGTCTTGCACGCCGCTCCTCTCGCTCTGGTTCTGTCATGTACCTAGCATCCTCATCACGATGAGACCTGGACTTTCGGCGCTCTGGAGGGTCCGGAGGAGCATTCGGACGAGCATTCTTCCGCAAAGAGCCGATGAAGCCCATGAGACCAGTGGACTCTGGTTTCTTGGGAGCAGTACTTGATCGTCTCACGCGTCGCTCTCTTGGTGCTTCCACAAAAGCAATATCTTCCGGTCCCGAGAACACCTCAGCATCTTCATAATGCTCTTCTTGTCTAGACCGAGACTAAGCACGAAGTTAGCATCGTGAGAGAGCTTTCCGGGTAATATCACTGGTATCCTTGCTTACCTTCCTCCTCGATCGTCTGTCGGAGTGCATAGATCCCCTTGAGCCCTCCTTCGGGGCATCAATGTCGTCCCGATCTACCATGACGATGTCCTCATCTTCAACCGCATACGGGTCAGGAGCGCCTAAAAAACTGTTAGCAGCGCTACAGGCATTTATGTAAGAGAGTACATACGAGATCTTCTACGAGATTCATGCCGTCTCTCTCTTTCTCTCCGGGAGGAGCCGTTCACTCCCATCATCCTGGCGGCTTTATCCGGCATATCCCGGCTATCGTCCGGTGGAGGACTGGGGAACCCGGCGTCTTCCATACCCACGGATGGACGTCTTGAGGTATTCCTGGACGCGTGTGTTCCGTGTCTTCGACTGGACTTTGTCCTACTAGGCGGCGGCGGCGTGCCCAGGACAAAATCAGCAAGAGTCATACCTCGGCTATTGCGCTTGTCCTTGTCAGAGGTCGACTTCTCTCCCTCGTTCTCAAGATCCCTAGACCTTGGCTGTCTGGTCGATCTCGACCTGACCATAGGCGGGGGTGACTGTTCTCGTTCACGTTCCCGTCTACGCCGATGTTCCCTAGTGCTGGGCTGCTTTTGAGGCGTGGCACCCCAAAATCCCCAAGATGCTGAACCAGGAGTGCGCTCAACACGAACACGCTCCTTCCTGGCCGGCTTCTCTGGTTCAGGCTCGGCAGGTTCAGCAGGCTCTGGTGGAGGCGTAGGAGGGCCCGCGCCTACATCAGCTTCTGCCGCTGCTTCGTCAATCCCAGCATCGACAGGGGCTGGTTCCACGACCGGGGGTGCTTTTTCTCGACTAGACACCTTTTTGCTCTTTTTCTTCGGCTTTTCGGGCTTGGAAACAGGTGCTTCGTCGGCCACCGGCTCTATCTCCCGTGCTTGCTCGATCGGAGGCTCGGGAGCAGGAGCAGGAACAAATTCAGGCTCGAGCTCAGGTACGGGCTCGGGTTCAGGTTCAGCTATTGGCTCTGGCTCAGGTTCAGGTTCAAAAGCAGGCTCCGGTTGTTGCACTGGCTCAGGAACCGGTAATGGCTCAACGACCTTCTTCTTTTTCTTCTTCTTTTCAGTTTTTGAGATGGGAATAGGTGCGGGGGCTGGCTCGGGTTCCGGCTCGGGCTGGGGTTCTGGCTCTGGTTCTGCAACAGGCTCAGGGACCGGCTCAGGCACGGGCTCAGGAGCCGGTGGTTCAAGTACAGGCTCAGGAACTGGTTCAGGTACGGGCTCAGGCACAGGCTCAAGTACAATCGCCTTCGCCTTCTTTTTCTCCTTCTTCTTTGATTTCTTTGACAAAGGCACCGGCTCGGGCTCAGGTTGTTGAGGCTCAGGTTCTGGCTCAAACTGAGGTTCCGGCTCTGGGGCAGGCGGTTCCGGGGCAGGTGGCGGGGGTATATCGTAAAAGTCCTCCTCGTCGTCGAATGCGTCTGGGAAACTGCCTGGAACCAAATCCCTCGAGGGCTTTTTAAACTGAACCGGTTCGGGGTCAAAGAACTCGACAGGCTCGGGTTGCGGGGGAGTAGGGAGTTCCTCTGGGGGTGGGGCAGGCTCTTCCTTGGCAACCTTGTCCTTTGATTTCCCCTTCTTCCCTTGCTCCAAAACTTTGATTCGCTCTGAGACGGACAATTTGGCCGATGACTTGGTCTTCGAGGTGACAACGGGAGTCTTCGCTGGCGGCGCGGCTGGCGCGGGTGGTTCGTCGACAACTGGCGGGATTGGCGCTTCGGGCGCCTCGGGCATCTTTGAGTCGTCAACGTCAATAAGTAAATCATCCTCTGCAGGATGACTTGGTACAGGTTCAGGCTCGGGCTCTGGTGCTGCCTCTATGGCTTTGGTCTTCTCTGATGACTTTTTCTTTGTAGTCTTGGATTTGCCCATAGTTGCAGCACCTATGGTGGCCCAGAAACCCATGCCACTCTTAGGTGTCTCTTCCTCCTTGTAACCCTTCTTATTGCTCTTCGAAGGCTTATTGTCGTAGTCATCCCAGAGAGGCTGTTCCGGGACTTGGTCAGTAGGTACGTATCCCTCCGGCTCGGCAGTCCATCCCAGAGAGGGCGGTGTCGGTGCGGGCGGTGGAGGCTCAGCTGCGATCTTGCTCTTCTTCTTCTTCTTTTCCTTCGGAGCGTTCCATATTCCCCAGTTCTCCTCCTCATAAGTCTGTTCTGGGACCACTTCCGGGACAGGCTCGGGCGCAGGCTCTGGCTGTGGCTCCCAAGCTGGCTCTTGTTCAGGCTCTTGTTCAGGCTCTTGTTCAGGCTCTTGTTCAGGCTCCAGTTCTGGGGCTGGAGGTGGTACCGGCTCTTCTTGAACAGGCTCAGGCACAGGCTCAGGCTCAGGCTCTTTAGGTGGCTCAGCATTCGGATCAGGAAGGTCAAAATCTTTGCCCGGGATAGGAAGTCCGCTCTTAATCAATGATTTCTCACGTTTCTTCCTATCCTTGGATGACAGATTGTGCCAGTTATTATAGAGAGGACTGTCTGGTATCTCGGGAGCTTTGATCTCAGGCTCAGGCTCAGCTTCCGGGATTGGTTCAGGCTCAGGTTCAGCGGGTGGCTCTGGCTCTGGCTCTGGCTCCGGCTCCGGCGCTTTGGGGGGCTCAGCATTGGGATCAGGAAGCTCAAAATCTTTACCAGGAATCGGAAGTCCACTCTTTATCAATGATTTCTCACGTTTCTTCCGATCTTTAGATGACAGATTGTGCCAGTTGTTATAGAGGGGACTGTCAGGTATCTCAGGGCCTTTGACTTCAGGCTCAGGCTCAGGCTCGGGTTCAGGCTCAGCTACCGGCTCGGGCTCGGGCTCGGGCTCAGGCTCAGGCTCAGGTTCAACTTCCGGGATTGAATCAGGTTCTTGAACTGGCTCTGGCTCTGGCTTCGGAACCTTGGGGGGCTCGGCATTCGGATCAGGAAGATCAAAATCCTTGCCGGGGATGGGAAGTCCGGCTTTGATCAGTGATTTCTCACGTTTCTTCCGGTCTTTAGATGAGAGTGTATGCCAGTTATTATAAAGAGGGTTCTCCAGGAAACTCATGTCTGGCTTCTCGGGCTCAGGCTCAGGTTCAGGCTCAGGCTCCACAGGATCGGTTTGTGGTTCTGGCTCCGGCTCTAGCTCAAAGACCATGCCCTTTTTCTTCTTATCTTTCTTTGGGGCATCCCAGCCCGATGACCAATCATCATCCTTTATCTCGGCAGGCGCTGGCTCCTCAGCGACTGGCTCGTCGAGGATGGTACCCTTCTTACCCTTCTTGTCTTTCTTTTTCGTTACAGGGCCCCAAGGAGAGCTCCAGTCATCTTCAGGCGGCGGATCGGCTGCGGCAGGAGGCTCAGGGGCGGGAGGCTCGTCAGCCTTCTTCTTTTTCTTGTCTTTCTTGGTAGTTGCCCCCCAGCTCCAGTCATCATCAGCAAATTCTGGCTCCTTCTTCTCTTCAGCGCCCGGCCAGGCGTTATCTGATTTTGGTTCTTCTGCGAGAAGGTCGGGTGTCGGCTCCTCTTCGATCCCCTTCTTCTTTTTCTTCTTGTCCTTCTTGGTCACAGGAATTCCCCAGTCGTCCTCTGGCTTGTTCTCTTCCGAGGCAGGAGGGGGTTCGTTGGCAGCTGGAGTACTTCCAAGGTCCGCACCAAAGCTGAACCCAACGGAGGCGTTCGACATGCCGTTGGTGCCGGAGAAGGACCAGGGGTTACTATTATCTTTTGGCTTGTCGTTTTTCATGCCGTTCAGGGTGTTAAGACCCCATTTATCACCAGATCCCCAATCTTGACCCCAGCTCCCAAAGTTGAAGCCCGTCCCTGGCGCTGCTGGAGGCAAACCCAAGTCTAGTTGCGGCGCACTGTCGTTCAAGCTTATGTCTTGGAACCCGTTGGACGCCGGTTCGGGCGGGCTAGGGTCGGCGCCCTGTTGATAAGTTAGGATTTATCATCTGTATTGCAGCGACGATGCAGAACATACCATGCCTTTCTTCTTCTTTTTCTTGCTGGTTGTTGTGGCAAAACCCCAGCCATCGTCACCGTTGGCATTAGTGTCATCTGCCCAGCTAAGGTCGGGGGGAGCGGCGGCAGCGGCGGCGGCGGCTTCTTCTGCAGCCCGCTTCTCCTCATCTTCCTTGGCCAGCCGTTCTTCCTCCTCTTTGGCCAATCTCTCCTGTTCTTCCCTGGCCCGCTGTTCCTCTTCTTCCCGTTTTCGTTGCTCTTCTTCTTCCTTCAGTTTTTCCTCTTCCTCCTGTTTCTTCTTCTTCTTGCTCTTCTTCGTGCTTGTCGTATTCCAGGCATCCCAGTCGTCATCCTCTCCATTATTACCGTCGCCGTTCCCATCTTGGCCATTGTCATCTCCATTACCACCACCTCCAGAATCGCCGCCTCCATTCCCACCGGTATCACCGTTTTGCTCATCTCCGCCGCCCTCATCTTGCTTGTCGCCTCCACCTTCCTCGGCCGGCGGGGTGCTCTGTCGCTGGGGTTGCGCGGCCGGCTTACTCTTCTTCTTCTTCTTTCCTGCTCTTTCCCGAATGCCCGTTGCAGACCCAAAATCGAATGGTCGTGATGCACCCTTAGACTTTGACTCATCTGTAGTCTGTGGGGGCACGGACGCAGAGTCCTGGATAAGACACTTCCGCTGGGCTAAGGGAGCAAGCGTGGCGTAATGTGGAGGTAGATCTTTGATCACATCATCATATGTAGGCGGCGGTGCATCATAGCCTTCGGGCTCGACGGCATGGATGTCAGCTTCCAGAGCCAGCGATGATTCGTAACCTAGTTTTCGCCGTAATATTGTATCCTGCTTACAGGTCTAGGCATTAGCAACGGGAACAGCAGTCTCATGGCTAGTAGTTTATTTGCCATTGAGTTCACAGGTAACTGACCTTGTTTTGATGTTCCACCACTTGGAGGACTTTGCCGTAATGCTCACCACCACTCCTGGTGGTGTATCTTCGGGACCCGAGACACCCCGAACTTAAACCATGTATCTGCAGCCAGCCATATGACAAGTCGCATGTTTCCTTCTGACGTCCGGCAGGTCCCAACGGGGAAGGGAAGTGTACCCTCAGTGGAGATACAAATTCATCACGAGGGATTGTCCGCATAACTTCCATCCTGGAAAAACGACCGACACTCGTCTGACGACCAGCGACTGCTCTATGCCAGGCGCATGGATATTAAAAGACTATCGGCCCCAATTGAGGCGGTTGGCGTTCGAGCGACGAAATCGACGTACAAATAGGCGACAGCGCAGGAGGAATGAATGCAAAGACGACGGAGACTCAAAAGTGGGAAGGACCCAGGACTAATGGTAGTTACACCACGCGAAACGTCACGTCAGACGCCAGGCAGACCGAAACTTGCGATAAGGACTGGAAATTGGGCGAGACAGGAGTCGATCGACCTCAGAAGGAATGTCAGAGGAAGTGAGGAGATCTAGATTGACGAAAGAAGTTCAGCAGGGAGAAGCAGGGATACGAGGAGAGGCCATGGAATTCATGACCCTAGGGCGGTGGCAGACGTGGAAAAAAGGAATGGAGCGCGATTCTGCGGAAGATCCTCTCAGGCGAGAATGGGATTGGTAGATTTGGTATGCGATAGACAGTGAGGAATGCGAACTAGTATACGTCGGGAAAATCAGCGGTCGCTCGAAGGTGAGTATGGAAGAAGCAAGTAGTAGTTGAAGACGGGCTGCGGGAGTGCCACCAAAAGTAAATAAAAAAGTTCGAGGGGAGAAAAAAATGAGTGAGACTGCAAACCTTTTTTTTTCTTCTCTTCTGCTCAAGTTTACAAGCAGCTCGTTGATCTGATTGATCGGCGTATACGGAGTAAAAGCGTGTGATTTGATTCTCCGAGGCCCAGTAGCGTAACCCGGTGGCTGGGGAAATGGTAATGGGCCAACGGGGCAGCGGGATCGCTGGGAAGATGCTGGTATAGTCGCACGCCGCGGTAGGTGAGAGAGTCTGTGGATGGTGGATGGTGGATGTGGATGAAAGTTTTATTGGCGCATTCAATGCAGCGACCAACGAGGGACTGAGAAGTATCTAGTATGTAAGTACTGTGGTGTTATGTACACTGTAAGTGAGACTTGAGATGAATGGCAATGGGAAGATGAAAGGGAGTCAGAGTCACGCAGGCACAAGCCAGTCACACACCCGGTTGGGTTGCGCGCAAGGACGGGGGCGGTGGGCAGATGCTCCTATCGATAACGAATGCCCCCCTCCTTCGCGGTGGGAAAGCGTTGGCGCGATCGACGAGTCGGACTATGAAGGTATGTACTTTAGTGGTGGTATGTACTGTGAAGTACATACACTCTGACTGACTTGCAGTGGTTGCGCATATGCCTCTGGACGGGTAGATTGGTCTCTCTATATGTATGTAACCATCATCGGGAATGACCTCCCTCCCCATCATGCAGAAAGGAGCCCGTCATCATCAGAAGGGGTGGGGGAAGGAGTCTGAGAGAGCCCGACAAAGGGTATTCAGAGCATTACCAAAAAGGGTTTAAACAGTCCAGGTATTCGTTGTCATTCTCTTCCCGGCATCAAGTGGGGTCCGAACATTATTATTACTGCTTTGATGGAAATGGAAAGTCTGCTAGGGCAAAGAAAGAGGAGCTAAAAGATCACCGGTTCCTTGGTTCGACTGGCGGACATCTACTAACTTACTAAGACGAGACTAATTTCTACCGCAGCTAAAGTAAACAAATCAATGGCTGGTCAATGAAAGTCGCATAGGGCATCACTGCAAAATGGAAGAACAAGAAAGAATCACCACTCATTCGAATATCACGCACGTCGGACATATCAGATGCTGTCTGTCCCTGCCTACTGTCAGTACTGTACGGAGAGAATTAATTCATTGATCCTCCATCTAAGCCTCGCAATCTCTTCGATCCACCACCGCACGTGCCTTCAGATCTATGCAACAACACCAGCATAATTTCCCAACATTGGTCCGAACTTGCATTCATCATCATGCGGAAATCCAAGAAAACCCGTCCAGTCTCATTCTTAGGCAGCCAAAATGCCCTCTCCTCCCCTCTCGTTTTAAATTCGGCGAGAAACTCGGATGTCAGAAAAAAAATAAAAATAAAAATAAACGACCACCCCATTCTTGGGTGGATGCGGTGGCCTCTTTCTTCACCGCATCGAAGGCAAAGACCCCTCCACCAGCCTATGAGATCTCGTTCTGCGCAATGGAGACCCAACCACTGGCCATTCGCAGCTCCCCTTCGTCGGGGCTCTTTGACACCGTCGCAGTTAATCCGGTCAGACTAGTCCTGATACACCACTATGTACATCCATCAGCTCCGCCTGAATATGTCTCCTCCCCCATTATCGTCCGAGTGTGCTGTACAGTTGTCCATACTCTATCCTGTTGAGAATCTCCGAACGTCCGCAATTGCTGCATCGCATGCGTTTTCTAGACCCTGGCTGTTTCCCGTGCCCCGCCGCGGAAAAAGCATATGCAGTGATGCACGCCGATTCTACAGCCACTTGGTTGCTGCTATCTACAGGCTGTTACTGCTTGGGGAGTTGAGTGGAATGCAAAGTATATGTTGATACTAATTCATCATAGTAGACTCCCCTGTCTGCGGTCTCTGCATGTATCCCAATTGGGACATTCCTAGCTTGACGCGCTAGATCGCCCGTTTAAAATGAAACACCCCCGGCAAGAACGGGCCAGCCCGCATACAATGCAGTTGAGGGAGAGAAAAAGAACAGGGTATTACTACGGGGCCCTGGAGGGCAAGTCAGGTACGGCTTGTTGACAATGACTCATATGTCCGTCGGACCGCTGCATCATCCCAGGGCATGCGTACCCACCACATGAATACGATCTTTTATGCCCAACACCCGGAGATGTGCGTGCATCTATCTATCTATCCGTAAGTCGTTGAATAATCAGCATGCAGTAAGTAGTTCTTCTTACGACGACCTCTTAATTGACTCAGTAGACCCCTTCACCGGTCATCGTCTTGAGGGACATGGCGTTGGTCTAGAATTTGAAGATCCCAGGCTGCGCTCGAGTAACATGCAGTTTGACCAAGCAGATACCCGTCTAAAACGACACGTCCAGAGGACGAGAAATGTCTCAGCTCTTATGGGTGGGAGACGGTTGATCGTTGCTGTGGATAGATATGGCTATGACTCCCGCGCAGGCACGTGGTTCGGATACGTCACTGTATCGCGACTATGCGGCTTTTGTGAGCCCAGCCAGACTTCCCCATTGTTCCTACGAGCACTCGATCAACAGGGAAGGATGTTTCCTTTCATAGGGTACAATTCCCTCAAGAGACATTACAAATGGTGAATACAGGTGCACGAAAAACATGGAAGGCAAGCAGCTAAGACCGAGTGGGCAAACGACACACCATTATCACTAGGACCCGCCCGCAGAACCTTGAAACACAATTGACCTTCCTGGTATTGAAACAATGGTTCCACCTCATTACCTGACAGTCATGCCACAATGCTCAATCAGGATGCTCATTTAGTCGCGTTCTTTCCCACATAGGGGGGATCCTCGCCATAGACGACCTTGTATTCCCGGGCGTACCGGTCGGCATCGACTTCTTGAAGTCGCACGTATTTCTATTCGCTGCATTAGCATTCCTTCTGACAACAACTCGGGAGAGGCGCATCGAGCATACCTGTTTCTCTGCAGCGGTCATGCCTCGCCATTCTTCCGCAATCCGCACACCACGCTCGGGGATGGGCATGTGCTTGAGGTCACCAGCCTGATGGCGTTCCTCGGCGTAGAACAGATACGCGATCTTGGAGCGCTTGACTAGGCGAGGGTCATGAAGAGGGAAGAACTTCTTGTTCTGGATCTGGGCGAGTCTTCGCCGGGCGTCGTTGGCTTGCTTGATCTCCAAGGGGCTGTGCGAGTCAAGCCACTCCTTGTATTCCTTCTCGTAAGCTTCCTTGTTGGTAGCAGCAGTAGCGACAAATTGCTGTAAACAGATGTCAGTCTCACGGAACGTCTCATGTCTTTAGAAACAAACGAACCTCGCGCTCCGCTTCACTGATGTTCTTGGCACGGTCGGCGGCCTCCTTGAATGCCTCCTTGCCCTTCAATCCCTTTCCTTCCTTCTTGACCTCCTCAAGCTTGCTCAGCATAGTCAGGGTGAAGTGGTTGGTGAGCCTCTTGGGCGGCGTAAGAGAGGCGGCCTTCAGCTGCTTCACAAGCTGTCTCAAGTCGCTCTTCTCCTTAGCTTCCTTCTTGGCGGCTTTTTGCTCATCGGTGAGCACCTTCTTCGCCCGGGGCTTCTTGGTAGTCTTGGTGGACTTCGTAGACTTGGTCGTCTTGGTGGAAGTCGATTTGGTGCTGGCGCCCCCCTTGGGGGAAGCCGCAGTCGCATAGCCGCTGGTCAGGTGTCCGGAGATGGCAGCGGAAAGAGGTGCATATCTGACATTGGGGGTTGAGAAGCGACTCAGAGCGGCGAGGGACATGCGTCTAACATGGCTCTGAGAGATGGCCTGGCGAACGGGACGAGAGAAGGCCTCGCTAAGCTGGAGGTGTTGGAGAACACCCCCTCCGCACCGAGCTAGGTTCAAAGGCATGGCCCTGAACAATGGTAGTCGCGTATCGGAGAACCGGGATGATATGTAAAGGGTAGGTTGCTAAGTGACCAAACAACGATCTGTCGAAGGATTCGCCCTTGTGCAGGATGCCTGTCAGTGACGAAACCGGAGAGGTTGGGGTCGCGTAGCTCAGTCGTTTGGGAGATGCCGAATCGGGTAATGAAGCTCTCACGTGAGCATTACTGATATCGGTATTAATCACGTGATAGATAAGTGGGCTCACTCGCCGCCTGAGGCGCGAAAGCCTCTTTAGTTTGGGAGAGAACAGACCGTCGGACACCATCACTTCGACCACACCTTGAGCTGCTCTCGCCACCGGGTTCCTATCGGCAGTGCCTGGTTTTCGCAGAAAATAACTAAACTGTTTCTCATAATTTGAATGGAAGGGTAAAACTCACTTTAGTATCCTGTCCACGTGCTCGAGCTTTTTCCTGAGTCTCAGTAATACTCACTCATCGTTGGCCTGCAACAATGGCTCGCCACGGGGATACTCGCTCACCATCACCTGTAGGCAGCACGTATTCCTCATCCAGACGGAATCGCAGAGACGATGATCGCTATGAGAGGAGCCGGCGAGACGATGGCAGGAGTTATCGCCGATCGCGCAGCCCTGAGGTACGCATAAGCTCATCTTCTCCATCTGATGACAATAGACGGCTCTAACAATTTCTTTTCTCCTGGCTACAGAGACGATACCGTGATCGCGAACGTGATCGCGACCGCGATGCTTACCGCAGACGTGACCGCTCGCTAGACAGACGCGACGAAGATTCATATCGACCCGGTCGGAGAGAACGCTCTCGCGATCGACGACGGTCCCGGGAGCGCGATGATTACCGTCGACGAAGCCGCGATAGGGATTATCGAAGCAGGCGAGAAGATTCCCGCGACAGGGCTCGAAGGCGGACAGATGATTCTGCTGACTTGAAGTACAAGTCTAGACGGGACGATAGCCGGGATCGGGCTAAAGATGCCCCAAGGTCTCGTGAGGTAAGCTCTAAGCCAATCCTCGTTGCTTTTTCTGTCGCATTGGATAATCGCATCTAACACGGGTAGTAGACTTCGAAGCCGTCAACACCAGCAGCCACCGCGGCCCCGACAGAGGACGAAAAGAGGGCGGAGAGACTTGCCAAGCTGGAGGCATGGAAGCAAAAACAAGCCGCTGAGAAGGAACGGAAACAGCGAGAGGCTGCTGCAGCTGGTGGAGCGAGAAGTATCTTAGAAGAGATTGATCGCAAGTCTGGTTTGTCACCGGCTGTCAGTTCTCCCCAATCTCCTGCAACACCAGGCGTTGATGCTACTCCCGGTACATATACTGGGAAGTTTGATCCAAAGGCGATTGCAAAGAGTGCTTCTTCTACACCCGCGCCCCCGGCAGTGCTGGGCAATGATGTTGCCGTTCCGCCATCTGTCAAGCCAGTTACTACTATTCCCGCTCAGGTTAAGCCCAAGCCCGCTACAAGCGGTGCTTCAGGTATGTTGTTCTCTCAGTTTCTATTGTCATAGAAGTATGTACTGATTTCTTTCACAGCTACCTTGAAGGCGAAAGGCAACGTTGGTCGGTTTGGCCTAGGAACCAAGCAAGCAGCAGATACCGAAAAGACCACGGCTACCAAGACTTTAGGATTCGGAGAGGAAGAGTCGACTCGGAGGAAGTTGGAAAGGCTACCTACGCCTCCATTAGAAGACGCGAAGGATGTCAATGGAACTGCAGATGGTGCCGCCGATGAGGATGAAGACGACGTCGACATGCAAGACGGCACCGAAGAAGAGGCTGCTGCTGCGGCACGAGCTGCGGCGGAGAGGCGAGAAGAACGCTTGCAGAGCGAAGCCATAAAAGCCCAGTCTAATGGTGCCGAATCGAGCGACACTGTGATGGGCGACGCTCCTGAAGCCGCAGACAACATGGAGGTCGATGCTCAGGAAGAGGAGGAGGTTGATCCTTTGGATGCGTTCATGTCAGAGCTTGCTGAGTCGGCACCTCCAAAGAAGAAGGTCGGCGCCAAGTTCTCGAAGACCAAAGAGCAGCAGCCTGAGGCTATGTTCGGTGACGAGCATGATATTGATATGACTGCCGTCGGGGATGGGGATGCAGATGATTTCCTCGCTATTGCGAACAAGGCCAAGAAGAAGAAGGATATCCCAACCGTTGACCACAAGAAAGTTGAGTATGAATCCTTCCGGAAGAAGTTCTACACGGAGCCCTCTGATCTGGCACAGATGTCGGATGAAGAGGCGGCAAGTTTGCGTCTGGAACTCGACGGAATCAAAGTCCGTGGTGTTGATGTTCCCAAGCCAGTCCAGAAATGGTCTCAATGTGGGTTGGGAGTGCAGACCCTGGACGTAATCGACAAGTTGGGATACGAGAAGACTACCTCGATCCAGGCTCAGGCCATTCCTGCGATTATGTCTGGGCGTGATGTGATCGGTGTGGCTAAGACGGGATCTGGTAAAACAATCGCCTTCTTAATTCCCATGTTCCGACACATCAAGGATCAACGGCCGCTGGACAATATGGAAGGTCCCGTTGGTCTGATCATGACGCCTACTCGTGAATTGGCCACGCAGATTCACAAGGACTGCAAGCCATTCCTCAAAGCTTTGAACCTCCGAGCCGTTTGTGCTTATGGTGGAGCTCCCATCAAAGATCAAATTGCTGATCTGAAGCGTGGTGCTGAGATCATTGTCTGCACACCGGGTCGAATGATCGATCTTTTGGCAGCAAACGCTGGTAGAGTCACTAATCTACGCCGGGTGACTTATGTGGTCCTTGATGAGGCAGACCGGATGTTCGATATGGGCTTCGAGCCACAGGTGATGAAAATCATGGCTAACATTCGCCCTGACCGGCAGACGGTGCTTTTCTCAGCTACTTTCCCTCGCAATATGGAAGCGCTGGCTCGCAAGACCCTGACAAAACCGATTGAGATTGTGGTTGGTGGCAAGAGTGTCGTCGCTCCCGAAATTACCCAGATAGTCGAAGTGCGCAACGATGACCAGAAGTTTGTGCGTTTGCTGGAACTCCTGGGTAATCTGTATTCGAGTGACGAGAATGAGGACGCACGTGCCCTCATCTTCGTTGATCGTCAGGAAGCTGCTGATGCTCTGCTTCGTGAACTCATGCGCAAAGGTTACCCATGCATGTCCATTCACGGAGGCAAAGATCAGATTGACCGTGACTCGACCATTGAGGATTTCAAAGCTGGTATCTTCCCTGTGTTGATTGCCACATCTGTTGCCGCCCGCGGTCTGGATGTCAAGCAACTGAAGCTCGTCGTGAACTACGATGCACCGAACCATCTGGAGGATTACGTTCACCGCGCAGGACGTACGGGACGTGCCGGTAATACCGGAACAGCGGTCACATTCCTCACGGAGGACCAAGAGCGCTACTCCGTCGACATCGCTAAGGCACTGAAACAAAGTGGACAAAAGGTGCCGGAGCCGGTGCAGAAACTGGTCGACGCGTTCCTGGAAAAGGTCAAGGCTGGCAAGGAGAAGGCCAGTGCCTCTGGATTTGGTGGAAAGGGTCTGGAGCGTCTGGACCAGGAGCGTGATGCTGCTCGTATGCGTGAACGGCGCACGTACAAGACTGGTGAAGAAGGCGAGGATGAGGAAGAGAAAGAAGAGAAGAATGAGCAGGCTGAGGAGCGGTTCAACAAGGCCATCTCGTCTGTGCAATCCACGGCAGCTCCATCCCTGCCTGGTGTACCAAAGGGTATTGATCTTGATGGCAAGATTACCGTGCACAAGACCGAAAAGGATCCCAACAGCACGTCCAAGAACCCACTGGACAAGGTGGGCTCAGCCGTTGCGGATATCCACGCGCGCTTGAGCCGCGCAGGAGTGATGAGATCTGGAGTGCCCATCGACAATCGCGGGCCTGATGCAGGCGCCTTCCACGCCACCTTGGAAATCAACGACTTTCCTCGTAAGTCCACCGCCCCTTTTGTTCAGTGTCAGATGCTAACCTCCCTACAGAAAAAGCTCGGTGGGCCGTCACCAACCGCACGAACGTGGCCAAGATTTTGGAGGCCACGGGTACATCCATCACTACAAAGGGCAGCTTCTATCCTACGGGCAAGGTGCCTGGGCCCGGCGAGAACCCCAAACTGTATATTCTTGTTGAAGGAGAGACGGAGCTGGCCGTGACGAACGCGATGCGCGAGTTGATGCGACTGCTGAAGGAGGGCACCATCGCCGCGGCGGACAGCGACGCGCGGGCACCCGTGGGAGGCCGCTACAACGTGGTTTAGTATATCGGTGTACCATAGAGACATATTATCGATAGGCATTCTACCTCCAGATGATGATCTAATGTAGATATGAAATAGAAGAAGAAAACAGGATAAGATACGCTAAGCTGCTCTGGTATCAACAATAAACACAAGTCTTAACAAATCGAAAAAGGCAGTCATCATGTATCCCGCTAAACCGCTCACTCACATCCATAAATATATCAACTCCACGCAACCAAAACCACAAACCCCCACCCTGGCACATACAGATACATAGTAGTAGTAGTAGTAATACTACTACTGCCACCTCCTCGCCTCCGCCGCCCCATCGGCGTCCCTAGCAGCCACCTCATCCCGACTAGCCTCATTCAACGTCTGATTCTGCGTCTGCGCCTTCTGCGCCGCTAACTTGGTACCTAGCTTTCCTTTACTCCCGGCTGCAGATGCGGACTCGGCTCGTTTCTGTTTCCAAATCGTAGTTGCAACATTAGCCTAGCCCCAGTAGATACACCCCCAAAAACATATCATATCACTGTTAAAGGAAAGGAAGGAATACACACCTGCGCCGCCAACGCAGCTTTCGTCCTCGCATCCGCAGTCGCATCCCCATTACCCTCCCCAGCAGCAGGCGACCCTAATGTCCGTCCAGAGGGTCCAGAACCCCAGTTCGAGGCGGGTTTGGCGTTGGAGGGGAGCGGGGCGCGCGGGGCGGAAGAGGAATCTTTTGCTGGGGGGTTCGGG